GTTCAGTACTGTTTGGTCTAGTTTCAAAAAAATTTCTAAGAGCATTTCATTTGTCAAGTCTGACACTTATGAAAGTGAAAAAAAGAAATCGCGTTACTCACTCACTTCTTCTTCTTTATTAAAAAAAATTGTCTTTATTTTTCATCTATGATATTCGATGCTTCTCGAAGTCTGTCTGGATTTTATTCCCTAAGTTTTTCACCTAAGAGTTTTTCTAATCTTTCAATCAATTTATTGGGATCTGTTGCAATAATTTGAACCCTATTTTTTTCTGATTTTACATGTTTATAAGCTCTTTTTTTTTCAAATTCACTGTTTTTCATCAGCTTGCATTTAAAATTGATCCAAAAAGTTTTTGATCTCTTCTCCTAGAAATTACTAGATAGAAAAATGCTTGATGCTTTTTCACCTGTTTTAGTTTTAAAGATATTTTTTTTGGTAGAAGCAGATAATATTTGGTGATAATTAAAAATTCTTCCCAGCAATTTTCGTTACTTCATCGTTAAAAGTAGTAAGTCCATCATTAGGTAGAAAATCATTTGAAAGCAATTTTTTCAAGGTAAATTTCCGAGGTTTTCTTTGTCGGAGTTTGGAATCAATCATTCAAATCAAATTTCAGTCCCTTGGGTAAACTTTGAATGGATAAAGGACACAGGGACGATTCAATACACGCAAAAAAAACCGTCAGAGCCAAAAAAAACTGTTGAAAATAAACTAGCTCCATCAAAAATTTTGTGTTTCTCGATTAAAAAATTTTAAGCAAAAAATACACAAAAAAATTTACAAAGGGAAAAAGTGGGAGCGAACATGGAAAATGTTACGAATCATCAATGAAGCAAGAAAAATTTCATAACAAAATTGTTTTTGGTAAAAAGTTCTAGCAACCGATTATAAGGCAGTTGCTCTCGCAAGTGTAGTTAGGCATATTTTTAATTCCGTTGCTTTTATCTGTATATCCATTAAGCAACGCGTAACACGTTTTCTCTTTCGAATTTAGAGGTTATTGGTTTAACGTATCAAGGTTATTGCAGCGACAAACGGTTGATTAATAGGGAGTGAATTAATGAGATTTGAGTGATAGTTCCAGTAGCAATTCAGATCAAATATATATGGAAAATCACCCGCACAAAGTTGCTCGAACCAATGACTAAAGGTCATGTCTCACCAGCTAACTTTAAGAAAAAATCGGGAAGTGATTTTTGAGTTTGAACCGAATAAGAAAGATCAATTCCAGTTCAATTAGGAAAAATCACCAAAACCCCGCCCTTCAAATTAGGTGGTTCCAAGTAGAATGTATCGGAAAGATGCAGTTTTGCATCTTCCCAAGTTTTTCGTCAATGCGTCTGCAGGCATGTTTGCTGGTGGTAAAAAGGTTAAAGTCACCTCTTTCTGTTCAATTAACTCTCGAAGGAAGTGTAGTTTTATGGCAAAGTGCTTCGTCTTTCCGTGTTTCATTGAATGTTTACTAAGAGCAATACAAGCTTGGTTATCAACAAAAACTTCCAAATGTCTATTACAGATTATGCCTAAGTCGCTAATATGCCCTGTAAATGAATTCCTTCCTTGACTGTTTCGACAACAGCATTGTGTTTTGCTTCGGCTGTTGAAGTTGCAAAACGCTGAAGACCGACTTATTACACCTGAGTTGTCACCGAGCTTAAAACAATATCCTGAGGTACTTCTCCTATTGTCTATATTTTCAGCCCAGTCCGCATCCGAAAAGCTAATAAGATTCAACGTCTTATCACTCCTATATACCAAAGTTAAACTTTTTGTTCCTAGCAGATATCTTATACAATTTTTTCCGGCTTTCCAATGCTTTTCACCTGGGTTTTCCAGAAAAGAACTTAGAAGATTTGCTGCAAATTGAATGTCGGGTCTACTTGATAGAGCTAGGTAATTTAGACAACCAACAAATTCTCGATAGTCACATTTTTTCACATTTTCTTGTTCTATGCTACATTTTAAAGGACAATCTTTTTTTGTCAGTTTTTCGTTTTCACCAAGAGTGGTTGTTATCGGTATTGATTTGGTCATCTTAAATCTTGATAACATCTTTTCAACATATTTCTCCTGGTTTATCCCAATTTCGTTTCCTGAGTAACCAATTTTTATTCCTAAGAACCATTTAAGATCACTTATCTCGCTTATCTCAAAATTTTCAGAGATATTGTTATCAAACCAGCAACAGAAGTTTTTTGTCTGCTCCACAAACCCCTATTTCATCGACCCACAAGCCAATTAAACCTTCTATCACTACGCTACACCTTCGAAAACTTTCACAAAATTAGGGTTGGGTTTTTCTCCATACATAGACTCGTAGGGTGTTTTGCCTATAGCAGAATGAAAGCCCATGTTTTTGAGATTAGTAGCCACATTAAGAGCATAAAGCCAATAAGTTTTCGATAAATTGGCATCGAAAATCATGCAGCCAGCCATTGAGGTAAATGTTCCCCACACCCTTTCTATCTTTCCGTTCTCTTGAGGGGTATAAGGAGCCGATGTTTCCAGGCTTATATTTTGTTTCCTTTTCGCCTAAAATCCTGATCAATGTACTCTACTGCGCCATCTGAAACTAAAGTCTGAGGGACTCCTATGTCTGCTATGAACCTTTCCAACTTTTCTGTTGCCTCAGCTCTCGTTTTCATGAAATGAAAAACTGTCCACACGAATCTAGAAAAACTGTCCACAAAACTTATAGCATATCTATGTCCATCCTCTTCTATCTGGCCGATAGGACCTAAAATATCTGTGTGAACAAAATCTAGTGTCCTCGTTGCCCTGGTGTAACAATCATTCTTTTTTGCTTTATTCAACTCACAATTATCACAATTATCAATTTTAAAATCACTTATCTTCATGCCTTCAACATGTTGCTCCAAATGACTTAAGTCTTTGTAGTTATTAAGACCCATCCTGCAATGCCACTGTTTCAATGTGCCAACCACATAACACTCATCTTTTCCTACGAAAGTGTCCCATAAAAAGAGACCACTTTCCTTTTTAATTGGGTAAACTGAACCATTTCACTGGCAAACAACTTCTGCTCCTGCTTTTTATATTTTTGATACACTAAGCAAAATTCTTGAGTTTTCAGGAACGTACAAACTATCCTTCAGCTCAATCATCTTAAATTCGCCTTTCTCATCTATCCCTCTGAATCTAACCTCATCTACGCTAACAAACATGTCTCGATCCTTAAACGTATTACTGGTAGCTCCAGAGTCTTTAACTAACTCCTTGCCCGGAGACACTTCACTTAGAAAACTGAAATGAGCCTCTGTTTCGAATTATTTTGGAAGCCCTTTCAAAATAATTGAATTAAACGTTTTTTCACTCACTCTTTGGTTCACTTGTTCTAAATTATACTGAATCTCATCTGCTCTAGTCAAACAGCCTATCACTGTTTCATTGCTCATCTTTTCCAATTTGCCAGCTCGGACATTAGTTTTTGCAGCCTGGGTCTTTCGAAATTCTCAAACGTTTTCCGTATAACATCCTAAGCTTTGCTACCATTGCCTTTGTAAGGTCTTAAAAACAAAACCGATTTCTTATCTAGAGCCTGCACCAGTTCGTACCAGATATGCAACTGTTTTTTTCTCAAAAATCTCTTTTCCTTTATCTATTGCAGCTTGTTTTTAATCACTGCTTGCATTCAGTCTTAAGCTTGGCATAAAATTTGTACAATAAACTGTCTTATCTAAAGTCTTGTTTAACTTCAAGTGAAAAATTCGTGACTCGAATTGCTCTTCAAAGTGGGAAAAATCTTCTTTTCCCGAAAAAACTCTCTTCTTATTTTCGACATTTCTTTCGTTATCCAAATTCTTATTTTCGACCTCATTCTTACAAAAAGGTTAAGCTCCAATACAAAACTCAAAAAGTTAAGTATTGCCCTAGGTAAAGTTCATTGACCCCGTTTTCTCTTACATCAAAGTCATAGTGCTGTGCTCACTCAGTGCCCCTTCGCGTAGCTTTTGACCGTCTTGTCTTCTTCTCTGTTGTGTTTGTGTTTCACTGCTTCTATCGTCAGAGTGGTCTATCTTTAGAAGTTGTGTTGCCCTGCTTCTGTCGTCAAAGTTGCCTGTCTCTACTAGTTGTGTTGCTCTTCTGCTATCTTTGCACTTCTCTGTCTGATCAATAGTGTATCTCCAAGTAGTTTTGGCCTGCTTCTATTCTCGCAGTTCTCTGTCTGATCAGTTGTATGTTTCAAGTTGTTTTTTTTTTCACTGTCATAACTCCACTGCGAATCTCAGTTTTTTTTCTTACTCGTTTGAACAAACAGTCAATCTTGGCTCCTGACTTAACACTCGCGATTGGGCAACTGAGCTCATAACTTGTCAAGGTTATTGCAGCGACAAACAAACGGTTGATTAATAAGGAGTGAAATAATGAGATTTGAGTGATAGTTCCAGTAGCAATTCACATCAAATATATATGGCAAATCAACCGCACAAGGTTGCTCGAACCAATGACTAAAGGTCATGTCTCACCAGCTAACTTTAACAAAAAATCGGGAAGTGATTTTTGAGTTTGAACCGAATAAGAAAGATCAATTCCAGTTCAATTAGGAAAAATCACCAATCTGACGGTCTTCGGCAAATCATAATCAAACGTTTGTTTAATTTCTTGTCTTACTAGAATTTTTTCATATTTGTTTGTACTTTTTAAACTAAGTTATTCAAAGTGAGCTTGTAGTCTTTTATAGGTTTAATTGAACGTAATTTTAAAAAAAAGTTATTGGCTCAGATGAGAGAACAAAGTGTTTTGTTGGACCAATATTATATCTCTCCATCCAACTATTTGTGTTGGTATCAATTACTATAAATGCATAATTTTCTTTGCAGGCGTATTTACGCATTTCAAAAAATGCATGTCATATTCATTGAAACTTTATCGGTAGAAAAATATGTACATTCCTAAAACACTCGTGCAAAAAATATAATGAATTTTCAATTACATCTAGCAGTTTGATTAGACAAATAACTTCAATCTACAAGACAGATTATTCAATCTAAAAGACACATACACAGATTATTTTCTAATTCCTTGATTGCTTCATTAATTCCACCATCTAAGATTCATGCTGAATTGTATTTTTTTTCCTGAAAATTTAGCTCAGTCCTTTCTTAGTTCGCTCAAGAAACTCAACAGTGTCGAAAATCCTCTTTTTTATTCCTCAAGTTGACCGCCTCACCCATTACTCGCCAATATTTTGCCATTGGAACACCTCCATAGTCTTCCAAAGTGCGTTTGTTCAGTCTCTTTTCTTGCTAAATTTTACTTGCTGCCTAGCTACTAGCGTTTCGGCAAAATGTTTTACTTAAAAAACACAACATCTCAGCAAATCTCAACTCCTCTCTGGATAATCTTGTTTCTTTTTTGATTTTTTTTGGAGCGCCAATTAAGGGCAAAACTGCTCTAAAATTGTCTCGACAGTCCTTATTTTGCGTTTCAACCCATTCAGTTTGCTTGCCTTTAAACAATTATTCAAATAAGTCTTCTTGTGCCACAACCAAATACTCTAACTCCTCTAATTGGTTCATAATCCCAAAGTTTGATCAAAAAATGTTGAGTGTACGTTAAAAGAAGTATACAAACTTGTTGTTTTCAGTCCAAATTTAATTTAAATTTAGGAAAACTACTCCTCAATTTGTTTCTAATGACTCCTAAAACTTCTCGCTTCTGTCTTTCGTATCTTCAGGTTTTGGACAAAAACTCAATTTGTTAAAATTGATCTTGCAGCTTTTTGGAACCTGATCTAAACTACATTTTATGATTGGATAAATTAGATATTTTACCACTGTAAAGTATTTAATATTAACCAATCATGATCCATCTAACTAACAACCCACTTATTTGTAAGTGCTGAAATTACTTGTAATTTCAGCACCAGAGAGATTTGAATTTAACTTAGAAATTAGTTGACTCTCCAAGAAGACTTCAGCAGCCGCAATAAACCAGTATACCCTAGATCTATTGAGCCTAGCAGAGACTAGTTAAACAACCTGAGACTAGATAGTATAAGAGTAAGATTAGGATCGGTATTAGACTAAGAAGTTGCACGAATCTATCCGGCCGAAAATAAGATAGCGTGACGAGCAGACGGTGTACCCTATCCGAAATTACTCTATGAGTTATACACTTCGGTCCTAACTCATCTGGTGCGAACATAAGTCTCGAACAAGACCTTAATAGCTTAGAATTAACCAAAAATAGATTAGAATTTAGACAAAACATTTTTAAAATGTTACACGACGATAATTTAATCGAAATGTCTCTACGACTCAATAGATCAAAGCCAATATTCCGAACGATAAGAGAACTACCCGGAATTGCAAGAAGACCTCGAACCAGAGACGACATACGACAAAGTAGAAACTTACCATATAGTTATATGATAGTTCGGCAAAAGCCAACACAAACTTTTGTATTTAGAATACTACTAGCAATGAATTTAGATTTTCATTTGCAAACATAAAATCTTGAAGTCAATCTTCAAAATCATTTCAGGCGCTAAACAAAATTATTAATATACAATAACGATTGATAAAGAGATCTCAGATCGTTTTCCTAAATTCTGCAGTAATATACAAAACATGTTTGAAAAATATTTATTGAAATCAAAAGAAAAATTAGTAGCATGACAATAAATGGTTAGTAATCATAAATCATCCTGTTGTTCCAGCGTCATCACCTAAACATAACAGCATTCATAAGCTCACTAATATCATAAAAACACTAAATCTTTTCTCTACACAAATTTAAATCATTTTAAACTTAAATTCACTTAAATTTAAAATCAGATCATCAAGGCTCATCCTTGGATCTTAAATCATTTTCTATTTAATTAAATTTAAAACTTAATCATCAAGGCCTATCCTTGGATCAAAAAGAACAATTTTGTTCTCCCCCACCCACTTAGCTAGTGTCTAACGATTCACTATCCAACCCTTTCTAAAAACCCAGGACTAACAGAAATTTTTGAATAAAACTAATCATTCAAATTAGGATAAACAGTGAAGAACTTCGGTTATTCATCCTTCACTTGATCCCCCCTCTTACCAGACCCAGGATAAATCTTAAACTTAGTAAGTTTAAAATAGTATCTAACGAACTACTCGCGTTCTAATTATACCTGAACCTTGTGGATCGATTTACTATTCTCCAACCCTGAACACAATCACTACCCTTAAGTAAGATTAAGTAAGTTAACACCTTAGCTTATACTAGCCACGAGAAAGTAAAAAATCATTCTTCGGAATCGATATACTTTTCTCCCCCACCCTGAACAAATAGACCCAGGTTAGGCTAACCAAAAAATCGTAAGGACTAACAGTCTAAGAAAATAGAAATCATTTAACAACCTTTTGCATCCGTCATCCTAAACCTTATGTCATTTAAAAACCTAGGAAATAAACAAACAATCGTTTTACACAATTGTGAAATAGATAGCAAAAAATACGATCTTGTAATCACACCTCATACACAAACAGTTGGATATATCAGAACAAAACGACAAACATTAAAAAGAAAAATAATAACCAAACAAAGACAAATAACACGAAAAAGATTTTCAAAAAACCGAAACGCATTTTCAGAATCAGAAACCAGCAGTTTAGACGAACTCTATAAATTAAAAGAATCTATAGATAAAAATTGCCCCATTCACGATCAATTATATTTTTCCGACTCAGAAACAACTTCAAATTCATCAAAAAGAGGAAAAAGAAGAATAAAAAAACAATATAAACACAAACCAGTACACTTATACAATTGGAATCAACCAATTAGACACATCGATAGTTACATAGTAACAGTCATCAAACGAAAAAATGAGCTCAACACACACCCCAGGTGAAGAAAGTCCAGATGATGATGATATCTTCCCCTTTATCGTAGATGCAACCACTGATAGAGGACAGCATATATTTTGCAAAAATTTACTCTTAAATGTGTTTGAACCCGGAATCAGTCCATGTAAAACAGAGTTCCCAGATGTAAAAATCAAAAGACAAATTATCGATCACTATTTGAAAGATATATGCAACTTAACACAACAATACGGAATCTACTCCATAGAATTCAGCTCACCAAACCAGAATCACAGCAAATATGTAATTCAAACAGACGACCTTGATTTAGAATTCTCAAAAGTATTCTCAGAATATATAAAAAGCATACAATATCATAACTCACAAAGAGCAAACTCCATATTCACCAATGAAGTTTTTGCAATAATATATAGTTATATCTCGATATTAGAAAACGAAATCCCAATCTCAAATGTCTCACCGACAGAAACATCTAAACATATAAGAGTACGACATGAAATCACACTACTCTCTAATTTTTTAAATATAATTAAAGAAAATTTCAGTAAAGATGATGTTTCACAACATACAAAACATGACTTACAAAAAATCTTGGCATGGTTTTTAATAGATTATTTCACACATAATCTAGATTTAATTTCACAAGCAAGAAAAAATTTTAGACCTCAAAACTCAAACGATGATACTGCCATCACAGAACAGTCAGACTATGTTTGGGACCCCGAATGGTCTCATCCCGCATTCATAAATTTCCCACAATCAATCTCAAGTCAAGCAATAAGTACGATATCTTATGTAAGAGATTATGTAAGAGTAATACCATTAACCATTGATGCAACACCATTAAACTATAATACATTTTTACCTGATATGCAAAATAATAGTTTAAACTCTACAGTCATACACAATGAAAACCTCAATGGAACTAGAAATCTCACCCAACAAGATATCCAGACACCATCACACTTCATAAATGAAGAAATCGTACACACAACAACTACACAACAAAGCATTTCACCGATACGTCCAAATTTAACAACACCAAGAAATACAAACCCTTCACAAACACAGGTAACCTTACAATCAACCGTTAAACCTTCGGTTGCCCCAAAATATTCACACATGGATTATCAAACATACAGACCCATGACAATACCGTCAAAAACACGTAAAACGTTCACTAGAAACAATTTTGCAGAACATAATTATAATTACACACATCCATCAAAAACAAATTATCCCCCACGAAAAAAATTTAATAATTATACAAGATCTCGAAACTGGGATAACCCAATGGCACAAACTAATTCAAAAAATTTTCAAACAAATTTACATCCTTCACAGGATCGTAGTGAAAACTATCCATTTTTTCAACAAAATAAAAATAAAAAACAAACATCTTATCAAATGGATTACTTATCCTCAGATGATGATTTTTTACAACCAGATATATTTGCACCATATAATCAAGAATATCGTGGACAAGGAGTACAGAAACCACATACAAATCATAGAATTTTTTCTCCACAACCGATAGATATACAAAATCAACAACCAATTCAGCAACAAAACCCAATTAATACACAATATTTTCAACCAATTCAGCAACAAAAACCAATGATCACACACTCGTATCAACCGACGCAAATGCAAAATGAAATACCACTCCCATATTATCTTCAACAACACGAAATAACAAGAAATCAACTTTCAAATTTTTCTCAAATGCCAAATGCAGCAGAATCATTACAAATGACAATGAATCCATACCTTATGGGTGGATCATCAATAACATCAAATAAACCTTTAATGGTATTCACAGGAACAGACCCTGAATATTCTGTAGAAGACTATTTAAATGCAGTAACAGCAAATTTGATTTTAAATATAGGACCTGAACCAATTAATACGCCACTACATCAAAACTGGATACATCGACGCACAGCGTTGATACAAACAACTTTAGACGGCGCAGCCCAAAAATGGTTTTCAGTATTGCCTATAGAAATAAAATCAAATTGGAAGAGATTTACACAAGAATTTTCAAAAATGTTTGACTCCGAAAGAAACAAACAACAACAAAGAGTTTTATGTAATGAAATTCGCAGATTACCAAATGAAACCATCAAGCAATTAGCAGTACGCATCGAAACACTAGTTCGAAAAGCATATTCATTAAATACACATGACTATAAAAACACAAAGATGACAGAAATCTTAATGATGACCTTAACACCTCAATTAAGGAAAATAGCAATAAAAAAGAGAGCATCCCATCCCTCCTCAATTCGAGAACCCGATTTAGATTTTCGAAAACTAGTAGACAAACTAGAACAAGCAGAAATCACAATGAAACTCAAAGAAACAGAAAATCTGAAATTACAATATGTTAACCGAATCGAAACAAGAAAT